GGAGGTGGGTGCTTACTTGCTCCCAGGAACACGCACGTCCGTCTGTAGTTGTAACTTGAAACAAGTCCAAGACGGAGGTTGAGGAGAGCCAGGAGAAGCTAATGAAGAGGAGGAGGAGGAGAAGGAGGAAGAGAAGGAGAGAGAGGAGCAGGACAGGAGGATACACCAGAGAGCTCCTCTCGTATAAGGCTGTAATCACTTTTATAATCCTCTGATGCTCTAATTACTTTCATATATGAGATTTTTTGGGAGCTTAAGGAATGGGACGAGGCTGGGGGGATCTTGGGGGATGGGACGAGGCTGGGGATATCTTGGGGGATGGGACGAGGCTGGGGATATCTTGGGGGATGGGGCGAGGCTGGGGGGATCTTGGGGGATGGGGCGAGGCTGGGGATATCTTGGGGAATGTGACGAGGCTGGGGATATCTTGGGGAATGGGACGAGGCTGGGGGGAGCTTGGGGGATGGGGCGAGGCTGGGGATATCTTGGGGGATGGGACGAGGCTGGGGATATCTTGGGGGATGGGACGAGGCTGGGGATATCTTGGGGGATGGGACGAGGCTGGGGATATCTTGGGGAATGTGACGAGGCTGGGGATATCTTGGGGGATGGGACGAGGCTGGAAATATCTTGGGGGATGTGACGAGGCTGGGGATATCTTGGGGAATGTGACGAGGCTGGGGATATCTTGGGGAATGTGACGAGGCTGGGGATATCTTGGGGAATGTGACGAGGCTGGGGATATCTTGGGGAATGTGCAAGAGGAGAACCGCTGGGAAAACGTCTCCTGAGAGGTGGTTTCTCTCGGTCTCTCTCTCGTCAATTCCCTCAAGCCAATACTAATGTGATCAAACAATGGTTACAAATGTCTATCCTGCCCCGGAGGGCTGAATAGGTAGTTAGCAATGGTCAAATTTGTGTCTAAATCATCACACCTGTCCATGCACTTGCTCGATACCACACAGACACACATGCACATACAAGCACTCACCAACGCAATCACACATACGCACACACACACTCAAAAGCGTAGACACACACACATATACTCACGCACACAGACGAATAATTACACGCATATACACGACCTCAAAGACTTAAGACACACTCAAGACTTAAACACTCATGAAAAGCACTCAGAGCCACAGACAGAAGTACAAACAGAACATCAACAACACCTGAAGCGCGTCTCTTCACACCCAGACAGGTACTTCCATCATAGTATCCGCCATAAGAATGAAAACACTTCGACTTAAAGCACTTGATACAGTAAGTGCGTCGTTCAGCTAGCCCGCGAAGGCCTTCAGATCCTACATAGGGAGGACATAGAGCGTTCAGACCCTACAGAGGTGGATTTAGAGCGTTCAGACCCTACAGAGGTGGATTTAGAGCGTTCAGACCCTACAGAGGTGGATTTAGAGCGTTCAGACCCTACAGAGGTGGATTTAGAGCGTTCAGACCCTACAGAGGTGGATTTAGAGCGTTCTGGGGGTTTACGAAGTCCTACGCATAGAGGTATGGCGGAGGTGCTGAACGGGAAGATGACGTGGAAAGGCTCTCAGTCTAAGGCGCTTGGTGGTAGTGAGATTATCGCATCTCCCTCCATGGTGTGTGTGTTCTGGAGAGGCTCGAGGGCTAGCTGTCAACATGCGACCTGTCCGGCAGGGAGACTCGCTTTCTGTACGTCTGCTTCGTGGGAGAGAAAGGTAAATAGAGAGGGAGAGAGGAAGAGAGGGAGGAAGGGAGAGAGTCAAATATAAAATTCCTGACTGTGGATGCTGTCATTTATCTGTGTTTCAGTGAGTGTTCGAGGTCCAGCGGGTTCAATTACCGCCTGGGGGGAGGGGGAGGGGGGGTAAGGTGTGGCTGGGGGGCGGCGTGAGGTGGGGTTTGGGGGGAGGAGGGTGGAGGTGACAGTCTCAGGTGTGACACACACACACACACACACACACACACACCACCGAAGATAAGGTATTCAAGTCCCACAAGTAAAATACAGAGAGTACATAACATGGTTTTAGAGTCCTTTACATAAACAGCATCCCTGTGACCCACTCTCCCCCCCCCCCCCCCCCCCCCCGTCACTCTCTCCCTCTCTCTCTCTCTCTGCTAGATCATCCCACGGAGGACGTAAGTTCTATGATGATTCAGTAGTGAAGAAATACTGTGGGAAACTTTATCAATATGTGTCAGATTGGGAAGAGTTGTCACGTGACCATAAAGTGTCTCTGTCTTGAGATGTCTCCTCCTCCTCCTCCTCCTCCTCCTTCTCCTCCTCCTCCTCCTCCTCTCTCCCTCCTCCTCCTCCTCCTCCTCAAGTTCAAGTACCCGCTAAGTTTATTGAACTAATAAAATACTTCTCAAGAGGAATGATATCTTAGGCTATATCTGTCCTTCTCCTTCTCACGTGCTTCTTCTCTCCCTACTCCTTCTCCCTTGTCTCCTCTCCCTTCCTTTTTCTCCTCCATTCCTCCAACAGTAAGGAAGACCAAACAAGAAGCGACCCGACCTTCTCCTAACAGCCATCAATCAATAACGATGTTCGTGTTAATGAATTAATGAACCATGGGGGGCATTAAATAGTTGAAAATCAGTACAGTATCTTTGCAGCCCAGCTCTGCCTAACCTAACTTAATCTAACCAATCTTAACTTAATCTACCCTAGGTGAGGTTAAGTTAGGGGTAAACATGTTTTGAACTCGTGGATGGGGCCTAGAGCCTGGCCCTAGATAGTCGTATACATAGTGTATGTGACTGGTGGTGTCTTGACCGGAGTAGGGGTGAGGGAGGGGGTGAGGGAGGGGTGAGGGAGGGGGTGAGGGAGGGGGTGAGGGAGGAGTGAGGGAGGGAAAGACACATGTACACACACATACCCCCCCCCCACTCTCCACCCCCACCAAGAACAACCCCTCCCCCCCCCCTCCCCCCTTACACACACACACAGGCATGTTTAGTAAACGCGGACCTTGAATTTACAAGTGTCATTTACAGTAAACACACAGACTTCAATAAGAAGTTGCTTTATATATTGAAGCGGAGATTTACAACCTAATAAAGTACAAACTATAGACTTTTTCTTGACAAATAGATTCATATATTTTACATTATTAAATGAATAATAATAATAATAATAATAATAATAATAATAATAATAATAATAATAACTTAAGCTAATTATTATTATATTAATAATATAATTAAGGACATTAATTTTAGCAAAAATAATAAAAATATTACCTAATGCAATCTAATATGGCAACCCCTCTGGGAGCTTCATGTTGCTCTCACGAGAGCCCTCTATAATCCTCCTGGCACCCCCATTATAGCCCCCCTATGATTCCCATCTATAACGCCCCTTCTATAATATTAAAATGACAACACTAATACCCATTATAACGTTGACAGTGCCCATGACGGCCCATGCGACGCTAGAGATTTCAGCCCCATTCATAACAAACTTCTGTGGTACCCATAATTCCTTGTTACTAAGAGTCCAAACGTGTGAAATTCACCTAGGTGAGCTTGTGAGCGGTTGAGCGTTGGCTCTTTGGTCCCGCCTCTCAACTGTCAATCAACTGGTGTTGATTGATTGATTGAACATGATTGAAGGTCTTCAATCATGCATGTGTGTGTGTGAGAGAGAGAAGTTCTTTGAGGTAGAGTGGGTTGAGGTTTAAGAGATAAGGAATAGGAAACTACATTAAACAAAAAAAGGCTGTTTAGACGTGATTTCTCTCTCTCTCTCTCTCTCTCTCTCTCTCTCTCTCTCTCTCTCTCTCTCTGGGCGTGCCAATAAGCAGAGGGAACAGGTAACAATGGTCAGGTGATAGGTCTATTCTCTGGAGCAGGAGAGTGTCTGAAGCTATACAATGCAACCGTCCAACTCGGAACTCATGCTACTGGCAATGGGTATTGGGGGTAGATTGGGCGAGCCAGTTTAAGCGAGCGAGCGAGTGGATGAGTTCCTATGAGCGAGTTAGTGTTTAAGCGAGGAGGAAAATAGTGCATGTGTGTGATGCCTGTCGAGAAGGACTACCACCTGTTGCCACTATTTTGTTTGCTATTGGGAATAAAACTCGACCCTTTAAAATATCCAATATCTTACATTTTACCAATTTCGTGAACTCGGTTCCGAGAAAGGGCAAAGAACTTCAGTTTTTCTCAGAAACCAAAGGCATAGAGAGGATGGCTATCGTGGTTATGTTGAGGGTTATCTTGAGATGATATCGGGGGCTTAGCGTCCCCGTGGCCCGGTCCTCGACCAGGCCTCCTTTTTTGTTACACATCCCCCAGGAAGCAGCCCGTAGCAGCTGTCTAACTCCCAGGTACCTATTTACTGCTAGGTAAACAGGGGCATCAGAAAGAAACACTGCTCATTTGTTTCCGCCTCCACCGCTTAATATATGGAAACAAAGCCGCCATAATTGAGGAAAAGATGTACGGGTTTCGTAAGAGAATATTTGAGGGCCTGACAAATCCCGGCCCAGCGGGGCCTTTGGGACAAGTCAGTGCTATAAAGGTCGGCTCACACTCTGTAAACTTGTTGAAACCCATTAGCGAATACTTTCCTCTTCAGAGGGGTTCGAACTAGGGTCATTCAGAGTGCCAGATGGGTAAATAGCCATTCCGCCATGTTTGCTTCTCCTTGTTTATCTTTGTTAACGGTTAGCTAAAGTGTCGTTTTCTGTTAAAGGGCGACTTATCACCTCCTATTGTGTCCTGTTGATTACTGCTACTGTTGCTCCTACGCTCCTGCTGTTGCTACTGTTACTGCTGGCAGATTTGTAAATATTGTTGCTTCCACTGCTATCTACCTACCTACCCTTCTACCAGCCTACTTACCCATCTACCTGCTGATTTATTATCTACCTCCCTACCTATAAACGAATTTACCCATCTCCATACGTATCTAACTACGTATTTTATCAGCCAATCTGCCGACCTACCTATACCAGCGAGCCTGCCAGCCGGCCTACCTACACCAGCGAGACTGCCAGCCGGCCTACCTACACCAGCCTGCTTAGACCTACTTAGATTCTCCTGGTGGCCTGACACTTTCTTCTCCCCCACTTGCCCAACAGGTCGCTATGAGGGAGATGGTTATGAGGGAGGACGCCTCATGGACGGGCCCTCCCTGGAGGTGGGTACACAGGGATAGGCTGCCCTCATCCCTCATGCTGCTGCTCCTCCTGATGCCCCTCGCTACAGGTGAGTGTGAGGGAGGCTGGGTTGTGAGGGAGGCTGGGTTGTGAGGGAGGCTGGGTTGTGAGGGAGGCTGGGTTGTGAGAGAGAGATGAGGTGCGTGAGAGAGGGTGACGAGCGAGAGATGAGGAAGAGATGAGGTGTGAGGCGTGAGTATAGTGAACGCTTGAGAGGAATGAGGGTCTGAGGAGAGGCATTTGAATGTCGTTTTCATAATATTAAAAAATACTTCAGTTTCATGATATTATAAAATATTCTTTGTTCTAACTCATAATGTGTCACCTCGTGCCTTCCTTTGGCTCCCCCCCCTCCCACACTCTTCCTTCCCCACTCCTCTCCCACCTCCCCCAATCCCTTCTCCACTATCCCTTCTCCACTATCCCCCCCCCTCCCACCCCGCTCTACACAGACGTGAGGCCAAGTTGATATAAAAATGGTCCTTAGATGTGGCCTCAAAACTGCTGTATAAATACAAAAGCCACAAATACAACAGTTACAAAACTGTTGTCAAAATACATCCAAGTTTCTCATAGATTAAGGAGCAAATCAAGAAGAAAATACTCAAAAAATTATCCAACTATCAAAAGTGGCCACGGAGCCAAAGTAGCGGAAGGCAGATCCACTGCGATATGGTACGAACAAGCCACTGGGTACTACTCCTTCAAGCCTGACAAAAAGATATCCAGAGACATTGTAGTAGCCATACACAGACTCAGACTTGGCTACAAGTGCTGCTGGGAGGTAATAAACCCAATAAAGAGTGTCACATCTGTGGAACAGAAGCAGAGGCGCCACTATTGCACTACCTACTGGAATGTGAAGCAACTGAAGCCCTGCGCATCAGACTCAACATTCAACCAACAAAAGCATTAAATGCAAAATTCACTGCGATTACAATGGTAAAAAAAAAACAGTTGAAGAATGGGACAGACTAGTGAACATTCTGCATCTATATCCCCCCCCCCCCCCACCAAGATAACGTTAATAAAACAAAAGACTAAAATCAGTGCGAAAAGAAAGAAACTGTACCTTCGTGTAAAACTTTGACCCAGATATCACAGTAACAAGGTTATGGTGAATAACCGGGACTCAATTACGGGCTCACCATAGCCCGTGCTACATGGACATTTTGTTCCCGGTAACTAAATCTAAAACGACAACAACAACGTGGCCCCAGGCGAGATATAGACTTAGATCTAGATCTACTATAGACTTAGATCTACTAGAATGGGCGCGAGGTAAGATTAGGGTTTGTTTGGCTAAGTTAGGTTAGGTTAGGTTAGGTTAGGTTAGGTTAGGTTAGGTTAGGTTAGGTCAGGTTAGGTCAGGTTAGGTTAGGTTAGGTTGGGTTAGGTCAGGTTAGGTTAGGTTGGGTTAGGTCAGGTTAGGTTAGGTTGGGTTAGGTCAGGTTAGGTTAGGTTAGGTTGGGTTAGGTCAGGTTAGGTTAGGTTGGGTTAGGTCAGGTTAGGTTGGGTTAGGTCAGGTTAGGTTAGGTTAAATGAGCTGTTTTGGTTCCGTTATCAAAATAACGAGCATTCAGAGGGCGCGAGTGAAGGTGGTAACGATGCACTTAGATCAGGCGAGGAGCCTGAAGCACAGACATAATTGCTTTCCACCTATAGAGAGAGAGGGAGAAGCGACTGTTGAATTAACGAGGATTTTTTTTAACCAGTGTTTCGGAGATGAACTGCAGCATCTGAGTGACAGATTCAGCATCCACTGTTCCCGTAATGACTCTTCAACTATGGCCCCCAAATTGCGAATAATTCGATTCATGGCGGCGCTGTTTCCCGCCAAGAAACTCACCCGAATGAAACATATTTTTATATCTTCCATTTTTTTTAGAGAGACACCTTTCTGGGTCAGGAAAGCTGAATATATTCCTGATATACAATTTTTATTTTCCTTATGTTTTCCTCCGAGAGGCAGGAGGAATATATAATATTTTTTCTCTGTTGAATCCTCTATATGTGGTTTGCTGGTCAGCTATTTTAGCTTCCTCTGTTGCTTCTAGAGGGACAGAGGGAGTATACAGTGAGTATACATTGTCTATACGTCTATACAGTATCCCCTAGGTCACCTATACACATTCATTCACACCTATACACATTCATCCACACCTATACACATTCATCCACACCAATACACATTCATCCCCCACCTGCATCTCCCTGCCCGACCCATCAACACACTCCCACTCTCTCACACCTCCACTCCCACAGCTGTGAGAGTGGGAGAGCCCAACCAGTCACATCCCACACTAATAACACCCAGGTTTACTACAATAACACTGCCAAGTTACCCATAACGAGGCACTCCCTTGTAATTATCCACCAATCACCTCAACTTGCCTAGTTAGTAAACTCGTGCAAACAATTCGATAGTTAGTAAACTCACGTAAACCATCATCAGAGTTCGAGGAGAGCAAATTGTAGAGTGGTCAGGGACTAGGAGGGACAGGTAAACCAGGGGTACCGGGTAATGTCATTGATGGGTTGTTTAAAACGACGTATATGGTAGATGTGTATGTGATTGTTTCAAGCGTAGGTTAGACATGTATGTGTTTATTTGAAGCGTAGGTTAGACATGTATATGATTGTTTCAAGCGTAGGTAAGACATGTATGTGATTGTTTCAAGCGCAGTTTAGACATGTATGTGTTTGTTTCAAGCGTAGGTTAGACATGCATATGATTGTTTCAAGCGTAGGTTAGACATGCATATGATTGTTTCAAGCGTAGGTTAGACATGCATATGATTGTTTCAAGCGTAGGTTAGACCTGCATATGATTGTTTCAAGCGTAGGTTAGACGTGTATATGATTGTTTCAAGCGTAGGTTAGTCACATAAATGAATGAGTTTAAGCCTCGTATGGGCTAACAAGCCTTCAGCTACATCTTGTATCTTATATTCTTACTTAAAAACTCCCAACATTTACTTACGACTAAGTAAACCAGTTTTCCGAAGGTGCGTTACATAGGCGAGGGCGGAGGAAACCCCCCATGACCTGAGTCAGGTAAACAGTTTACAGAGACAGCAAAATACGTCAAAAGTTTACTTTTATTGGTTGATATTTAGAGTTTGGCTCCGAGGCCGCCCGTGTGTGTGTGTGTGTGTGTGTGTGTGTGTGTGTGTGTGTGTGTGTGTGTGTGTGTGTGTGTGTGTGTGTGTGTGTGTGTGTGTGTGTGTGTGTGTGTGTGTGTGTGTGTGTGTGTGTGGGAAGGGGGGGGTTGGTGGAGGGGGGGGGGAAGTCTGAAGTGTGAGTGCTAGTGACGTCTGAAATCAACCACTTAAATTAAGTCTCAAGATGATCCTAACGACCCCGGTAACGTAATCACTGCAAGATGATTAGGAATCATCAGGAATAGGATTAGGGAGTTCATCATCAAGATGATGATGATGCTGATGATGAATGTTGAACGGCGTTTCTCTGTCTGACTTCCATGTAGCTCTCTACCATTTCTTCTCTTCCTTGTTTCTACCTCGCTTCTTTCTCTTAATTCCCCCTTTCTCTACGTTCTCTCACACACTGCCTCCTTCCCTGCTCTCTCTCTCTCTCTCTCTCTCTCTCTCTCTCTCTCTCTCTCTCTCTCTCTCTCTCTCTCTCTCTCTCTCTCTCTCTCTCTCTCCACCCCTCGCTATAACGGACATCAATCACGGGAAAATAAATATTAGCTCGTTTTATCACTCAAATACAGCTTCCGGTCGTTCCACCCGCCTCTAACTACCCACTAATTACCACTCACATACACTGTCACTAACAGCCCAAATCGTTCCGTAACTTCTAGATTCTGCACTAACAACCATCACTAACACTCGCAAGCTACCACAATCATCCACTACCACTAACACCCTCTGCCGCTAACTACAACGATCCCAGAGCTTGTTGCATCAACCACCCCCACCCCCCCCCATCAACCACCACCTCTCACCACAATCGTGTCTTAACCGCTGCTAATCGCAGCTAACTACCACCATCCACCGCGAGATGACACTAATCTCTACACAACTCGCGAGTATTCTGATTGATTGATGAAGATTAAGCCACTCAAGCGGTGGCACGGGCATGAATAGCCCCGTAAACGGGTTTTCTAAAGCCATCAATCTTAAGCGCTCACCTCAGTTTACACCTGAATTAATTAACCAAATAATGCGCCGTACCCACCCCACCCCCACACCCCAAGTATTTACGGGTTCACCATAGCCCGTGCTACATGGACACTTTGTTCTGAGTAGCTAAATCTGAAACAACAACAACAGCGCCGTACCAGGGCAGCCTTCGTCTGGGGCCCAGGAGCCGAGTCCCTCAGAAGATGCTCTTAACTACCCTTGGGGTCATTCCAGAGCTCTGAATCGTTACGTCAAGGAATAAACCTCCTAAGGAAAAAGGTATACAACAGTGTGTTGTATACACATCTACGAAGCCTGTACATCTTTCCTTGATCATGGCAGGGAGGGAAATATCAGGGGAAAGCGCCAAGCCATTACGGCTATATAGCATTTGGAAGGAGGATCAGGAAGTCAGGATAAGGATTTGAAGGAAGAAGGAAGTCAGGATAAGGATTTGGGATGGGACGGGGGGAAGGAATGGTGTCCAACCACTTGTGGACGGTCGGGGATTGAACGCCGACCTGCATGAAGGGAGACCGTCGCTCTACCGTCCAGCCCAAGTGGTTTATGAGCCCCGAAGCACTATATGAGGTTGTTTACAACAATAATAACCTCGGGTTGTTAGTTCCCAAGCTTGCCAACTGTTTAATAAAGTATAAACAGAGCCACGATGATTAAGGAAAGATAAAGAGGTTCCGTCCGTGGTGGCGTAAAGGCTTGACGAGTCCTGGATCCTTGTGAGGACAGCACCACTCCAGGTTGCAATTATTTTTTCCATGTCGTGGCGCAGCTGACTAAGGCGCAGCTGGGAACATCCCGGGTGCAGGTTCGAACCCTCATCACGGCCCTTGTGGATTTGTTCACTTGATACATCACACTATTGTGACTTGTGTGTGTATGTTTACAACACATAACAACAGGAATACAACCCGTCGGGAGCACTGAGTGAGATGTATATTGTATTTGTATATTGTTGTATTATCACAACCTCGTAGGTCGTGAGAATACAACTACTGTATATATTATTATACACTATTGTATGTAAATAAACACAAATTATACAACAGCTTTGAAGTGCCTTGAAGTGACTGGTTCAAGTTCGTTTATTGGGACAATACAATACATCTCAAAGCTCATCTCACTAGAGTAGTTAAGATCATTTTCGCCGTCTTAAGTGACAGGAAAGATCGTGTTAACGGTCGTTATAGGGGTCAATTACCTCCTTGTCAATGTCTCCGTTTTCCATTAATGAATTTGCTGCAGTTTTCTACTCATTTTATTTATGGTTTAATTATTTTATATTTGAGATCTCTGTGAATAGTTTGCCTTAAACCGTCTCGTCTTGGTGAATGGCTTTTGAATTCCATCTCTTTGGTGGGTGAAGCCTCATTCATGGCTTCGTCTATCTTATTTCTTCATTTAAAATGCTCACTGGGGGGAGGAATTTTTATACAAAAAAAACATTAAAGATATAAAGTATTTGTTGAGAAACTGATGAAATTTTTTAGTAAATTTATCTTATCTATATTTCTGGGGTTTTCACCACCTGGAAAGAATGTTGAAAAAAAAATTCAAAATTTTCTGTCGAAAAAAAATTGTTTCGCTGAAGCACGCGTCAACATCTTCGGAGGCAGAGAAAGAGATCGTAAGCACAAACTAACAGAGGAGACGATATATTTCTTGTGAGCTGAAGACCTGAGAGGCGTTACTCCATTCAGGAGACTAGACAATATTCCCCTGAATGCTCATTGATCGACTGAAAGTTGCTTGACATGTAGTGCTTGAGCTATATTAAATCTCACAGTGTAATTGTATAGTGTGTCACCGTTAGTGGTCATCACTGTTTAGCCAGGAAGGTCTCTCAAGGCTCTCATCTGTGTCTTGTGGATAGTTACAGGAAGAAGTCAGGTCCTGTAGAAGAATGGGTCGGACAGGTGTTGATCAGATGTGGGATGGTAGGTCGCCTTCCATTTAGAGACCTCCTCGACGGGATGGTTACAGTACCTCCCACCCCCTACCCCCCACGGCTGACAAAGAGCTGTCAATCTCCACTGACGTTTCTCCTCAACCAGCCATCAACAGCAGCCTGGACTCACCACTCGCCACACTGTGCCGGACGGACACTGATTGTACCAGAAGCACTCACAATCACCACAACCCCCATAACTACAACACTCAAGTGTCCCAACATTTAACAACAACAACAATCACAACCATCAAGGCTACAGAAGCCACAACTACAACAACAATCTTTGCAACAATTGCAACCAGTATCATTCACATCACAACAGCAGGACTCACAGTAATAATTACAAATAAATTATTACCTACACACGAGCAAAAAAATAAAGGTACTAACAACCTGTATGGAACAAAAACACAGTTTTTCACGGGAAACACAAATAAAGCAGCACAGCAGCCCAACAAATATATAAAACAAATTATTTCATGCGTAAAATTGTCTCTTAACAAACTGTACCGATATATAAATGGTGAGAGAGAGAGAGAGAGAGAGAGAGAGAGAGAGAGAGAGAGAGAGAGAGAGAGAGAGAGAGAGAGAGAGAGAGAGAGAGAGAGAGAGAGAGAGAGGGGGGAGGAAGAAGGGGGGTTGAGAAGGAGTAAGAAAACTTCCTAGCAAGAAGCAGTGTATACATAATTAGCCTTACTTAATATACAAGTTTCAAACTTGCTAACACACACACATATATACACTCACACTCTCTCTCTCTCTCTCTCTCTCTCTCTCTCTCTCTCTCTCTCTCTCTCTCTCTCTCTCCCACATACACACACACACACACACACATATATATTTTATATATATATATATATATATATATATATATATATATATATATATATATATATATATATATATATATATATATTTATATATTCTGTCCCTCTTCAATTACCTTCTGTCCCTTCACACGGCTCCTGTCACTTCAGATACATGATAAACGTCTGTAGTGAGCCCTAAGAAAAATTGAGCTCCTGAGCTCAATTTTCTCAGCTCAAGTAAGCTCCTAAGAGCTTATTATTCTCACCTCACACACACACACACACACACACACACACACACACACACACACACACACACACACACACACACACACACACACACACACACACACATGTGTAAAGAATCATTCAGAACTTTGTATACCACATATGTCAGGCCAATCCTGGAGTATGCAGCCCCAGCATGGAGTCCATATCTAGTCAAGGATAAGACTAAACTGGAAAAGGTTCAAAGGTTTGCCACCAGACTAGTACCCGAGCTGAGAGGTATGAGCTACGAGGAGAGACTACGGGAATTAAACCTCACTTCGCTGGAAGACAGAAGAGTTAGGGGGGACATGATCACCACATTCAAGATTCTGAAGGGGATTGATAGGGTAGATAAAGACAGTCTATTTAACACAAGGGGAACACGCACAAGGGGACACAGGTGGAAACTGAGTGCCCAAATGAGCCACAGAGATATTAGAAAGAACTTTTTTAGTGTCAGAGTGGTTGACAAATGGAATGCATTAGGAAGTGATGTGGTGGAGGCTGACTCCATACACAGTTTCAAGTGTAGATATGACAGAGCCCGATAGGCTCATGAATCTGTACACCTGTTGATTGACGGTTGAGAGGCGGGACCAAAGAGCCAGAGCTCAACCCCCGCAAACACAACTAGGTGAGTACAACTAGGTGAGTACACACACACACACACGCTGACAACCTGCTGACATGTTCCACTGGATGTCAGGCCACGGAAGCACTCACTCTCTCTCCTCCCGCGGCTGACAAACGTAATTAAACCCGTACGAGGTCACCAGCATCAACACGCAAGTGTTTTGCGTGAAGCTGTGCTGACGCAGAGTTGCTTAGAGGAGGCGGGGGGAGAGGTACGAGCGACGTGCACGTCGTCCATGTCTCAAGACGAGGTGACGGCATGCTGTCACCCACCAGAAGTGCGTGACAGCGGGCGAACACAGGAGGACGACCTCTCGCTTCTTCGTCCTTCCCAAGGGGCCTGGAGTGCCCTTGGAAGGATGGAGGCAGGGAGGGAGGGAGGAAGGGGACGAAGGGAGTGTAGGATGAAGAGGAAGGAGAGACGAAGAGAGTGCAATAAAGTGTAAAGTGGAGAAAGGGAGGCGTGGTCTTCATGGCACTTAAATTAGGACCATTTCATCTCTTCATTAAGGGTGGATGGGGTGGGGGTTGGGGTGTGGGGTTGGGTGTGGGGGGGGGGGGGTGGGGGGGAGAGTTGGGGAATCCATGCCCCAAAGCCAGGGGTAAGCAGGTCCTCCTCGTGGGACTCATTAGTATACACAAGTCTCTGGTACTCTACCATGGCACTCTCCTCACTGTGAGGAACCCATTCCCTCATAACCCCCCCCCCCTTCAACCTAATGGGTACAGTAGTTGACGTCTTGGATACCTGTCTTGTCCATCACACCTGGAGAGAGAGAGAGAGAGAGAGAGAGAGAGAGAGAGAGAGAGAGAGAGAGAGAGAGAGAGAGAGAGAGAGAGAGAGAGAGAGAGAGAGAGAGAGAGAGAGAGAGAGATCATCAACAAGCCACAAGAACAAATGGAAGCACAATAAGATATTCACCGAGAAAATAAATGAGCTCCTTTAATATCTGTAATAATATTTACGCAGGTAAATATTTCATCACTTCTACACATCATTTCTACACATTTCGATACCCCTCTCCTCATGTCACATGCATGGGGGGTATCGAAGGCATGAAAACATGTCTTCCTTTCTTCTCCACAGCAAAAGAACATTCCTACTCTCTCTGTCTCTCCCCACTCTCCCTCTCCCTTTCCCTCCGCGCCTCAGGTGAGCTGGGAACCAACTAACCACCGCCTCTCTCCTCCCCCGTGCCTCAGGTGTGCTGGGAACCAACTAACCACCGCCTCTCTCCTCCCCCGTGCCTCAGGTGTGCTGGGAACCAACTAACCACCGCCTCTCTCCTCCCCCGTGCCTCAGGTGTGCTGGGAACCAACTAACCACCGCCTCTCTCCTCCCCCGTGCCTCAGGTGTGCTGGGAACCAACTAACCACCGCCTCTCTCCTCCCCCGTGCCTCAGGTGTGCTGGGGATCGACTGCTTCAAGTGCGTGTCTGTGAACGGGGACAACCCCAGCTGCGAGGACCCCTTCCACAACAACTACAGCACCGCCATGATGCAGAGTCCGTGTCTGGCCGGCCGCAAGGGCAGGGAGGGTCTCTTCCCCGCCACCGCCTGTATCAAGCTGGCTGGCATCTATGGTCAGTGAGGGAGGCAGGGAGGCCAGAGGGAGCACAAGGGGATGCAAGGAACGGTAAGAGAAATGGGAGGAATGGTAGAGAGAGAGAGAGAGAGAGAGAGAGAGAGAGAGAGAGAGAGAGAGAGAGAGAGAGAGAGAGAGAGAGAGAGAGAGAGAGAGAGAGAGAGAGAGAGAGAGGTGGGGAACGGATTTAAAATTTAGGAAGATAGGACTGAGTGAGAGGTAAAGAGGAGGAACTAGAGAGCGAGAGAGAGAGAGAGAGAGAGAGAGAGAGAGAGAGAGAGAGAGAGAGAGAGAGAGAGAGAGAGAGAGAGAGAGAGAGAGAGAGAGAGAGAGAGACTATCACATTGGGAATTATCATAAAGGATAGTTCCCTATGTGACAGTTTCAAAAGTACATTCTCATGAAATAAATAAGTTTCTAGGAGCAAACTTCAGATGAGCTGAGGTAGGATAACAGCTCTTGCTTGCACTTTCACTTGCTACGTCATTTGACACCCTTATGAACCCTAGTCTTAGTTTAAAAAGAGAAAGAGGATGGAGAGGAAGGGAAGACAGAACATAAGATCTTTTATGAAAGGTTCAGATCCTCTATGAAAAGGATCGAGAAGTCCAGATGCTTTACGAGAGGTTCAGATCCTTTACGAGAGGTTCAGATCCTTTGCGAGAGGTTCAGATCCTTTACGAGAGGTTCAGATCCTTTACGAGAGGTTTAGATCCTTTAGGAGAGGTTCAGATCCTTTACGAGAGGTTTAGATCCTTTACGAGAGGTTTAGATCCTTTACGAGAGGTTCAGATCCTTTATGAGAGGTCCAGATACTTTACGAGAGGTTCAGAAACTTTACGAAAGGTTCAGATCCTTTACGAGAGGTTCAGATCATTTAAGAGAGGTTCCGATCTTTTTTTTTATTCTTGAAGCTGGTGTGAGTCAATACTATAATGTGATCTTCTTCCTTATCTAATTCTATTCAGTAACTATGCATTGTGATGACTTAATATGATACATGTTCAAATCATGTCTTGTATGTTCTCCATAATTTCTTACACTTTTTAACATATTAATATTTTGGGAATATGCACATCTGTATCTATAAAGATTTCTATTGTCTACTTATAAGATCTTATATTTATATGTTATTATCTAGCATTATTAGAAACATATATATATATATATATATATATATATATATATATATATATATATATATATATATATATATATATATATATATATATATATATATATATATATATGCGGAAAATCCACAGAGAAATATGAAATGAGGTGAATGTATTTCTCTGTGGATTTTCCGCATAAAATGATCAGTGTTTTGTGATCGTCAATTGCATATATATATATATATATATATATATATATATATATATATATATATATATATATATATATATATATATATATATATATATAAGGTGTGTGTGTGTGTGTGTGTGTGTGATAGATGAAGGGAGAATAGACAATAGTACCGAGTACTCCATCAATCAGTGTCTGTGAGGTCGCGTCAGTGGTGCTGGTATTTGGGTACCTCGAACCATAGCCATAGATCCAGACATAGGTGGAGGGAGGGAGGGAGGGGACAGATCCAGACACGACTGGAACACAGATCCAGACTGGTCTGGAACATACTTGTCCATTCCAGACGACAATGGACAAACTCTGATTATCCGCGACTGCACGGTGGACTCTGGCTCCCTCACACTGGACACGGAACTGGCCAGGATGTCCCACTGTGGGGCCTTTGTCCTCTCCGGCAGGTAGGTATCCACCAGCCCGACCTCTTCACCGTCCAACGATGGAACACCTCTGGCTGCTAATCAGTTGCTATGGCTGCTGCTGCTGCTGCTGCTGCTGTGGCGGGAGTGGCTGTTCCTAGCCACATGGTAGACAATTCCCTAGTAGTGAGCATGGATTAAGTCCAGTTACCTCTCATTATGAGGGTAACAACAAGTATGTCAGCTACACTTCTCTCATCATTCATGTCCTTCATTTTAATGGCAAATTGTTATGAAGAAAATTATCAGTGTTTTGCTCAGTAACGAATACCCATAATTAGGGAAGGCTCGTCGCCTCCGCCTCTAATCAGAGGCCAGGAAGCGAGACCTTAGCGAGATGGAATTAATGGTCAGAGCTGTAGTTTACAGTGTCAAGAGTTGAGGGTTGACCGCTGCATGAGGTGAGGTAGAGAGTAGCTCATCGGAGATATTCCAGAGGTGCCCAGAGGTGCCCAGGGGTGCTCAGAAGTGCCCAGGGGTGCCCAGAGGTGCCCAGGGGTGTCCAGGGGTACCCAGGGGTGCCCAGGGGAGCCCAGAGGTACCCAGGGGTGCCCAGGGGTGCCCAGAGGTGCCCATAGGTGCCCAGGGGTGCCCAGAGGTGCCCAGGGGTGCCCCGACACAGCCACCCTCGGAGCGTGACGGGCCACGCTCACCAAGGCACTCCCAGCTGCCACTGTCCGCCCTCTGAATGCTTCATAGTCAGTGAATGTTTGTGTGTTAGGTCATGTGGTGTTGTCTGGTGGTGTGTAGACGAGTTACTGAGGCTGTCAGCCAGCCAGCATGGGGCCTTCACCTCCCTGCCATTGCATAGTGAGTATGACTTAGAGTTTGGGTATCCCATGTGACCTGAATAGTCTTGTTATCATCATTTAGACATTGCAGTAGAAGCAATCATTGCATTTCTCAGATACTCCCTCCTTCCCTCCCCTTCCCCCTTGCTTGTGGAGCGTGCGCGCACGCTCCCGGCCTGCAGAGCACGACGCGAGCACATATACCCCAAGTGAGGCCCTACGGAACTACTGGCTTCTACTCCATGTAAAAAAAAAAACATCGATTTTCAGTTGGCTTGTGGTCGCCGGCTGCTCCAGACCTCCCTCACACCCTGCTCCTCCGCCTCCTCCTCCTCATTCAGCCACCAGATAAATCCTCACCTTGTGGGCGTCGTCGCCGCCGCCCACACAGCGTGGAGATCAAGGCTCCAGCCGGGGTCTGGTAGCCTCTCAAAAGACCACACTCGGACCATGTGTCCAAAAATAGGCATTGTTAAAAGGACTAATCTCTCTGGAAAAGGATTATAACTTCCCAGTCTACCGTTATCGCACCTCCCCCCCCCCATCCCCCCCCCACACACACAGGGGGGGGGGAGAGGGGGGGGCTGGAGTATCCAAAACTGTTTGTGAGGAATTTGTTTTTCAGATGACACAGGCCAGACCATTACCATCCGGTCGTGCGCGCTGGACAGCGGCACTCTCACTACTGACACCGAGATCATTCGCATGTCCCACTGCGGAGGCTTCTACTTCCAGCAGAAGTAAGACGAGGCCACGCGAGCCTCCTCTACTGCCCTCAGGAGCCTCAGAGCCCCAGCTGAGCCTCCCCTTAGCCATTACTATCCCCCCCCCCCACTTCTCTACACACACACACACACACACACACACACACACACACACACACACACACACACACACACACACACACACACATACTCGATTTACTTGATACGCAACGAGAAGTGGTTTGCTAACGTGTTCCAGTGATTAAAGTGCTTGTTGAAAGCTGCATTTTGGAGGTTTGCAACAACGTATTCACGTTCATGCGGTGCGTCAATCCTGTTGATGATTGCAGCAGCTGGGCTCTGTGGCTCCTTGACCAGTATATGTGGCTCCCTGCCTGGGTAATCTTGCAAAATACATATTTCCACTAAAAAAAATTAGACATACGCGAAGGCTTTACTAATCTGTATAAAAATTTAAACCAATACATCATCTGCATTAATATATTCAACTTACACCTGTCTTCCTCCTCTTCCTCCTGTAAACCTAACATGTGTTGATAGTGTCAGGTTCTCTCTCTCTCTCTCTCTCTCTCCGTCTCTCCCTCTCCCACACCCCAAAACAAACTGGTCCACCCTTTTCGAAAAATTTCCGAGCCATCAAAATTGTTTTTTCAAGTCACCCAAAGAGCCAGGGTTAACCTTTAGGAAGGTCCATGGTGTTTCCGGAAGTACTTGATATATTCTGAGCGTTAAAGTAATATCCAGGGCGTTCCTGGAATATCCAGGGCGTTCCAAGGATATCCACCAGGGCGGTCCATGCATACCCAGGGTATTCCAGCAACACTCTGAGTTTCCAAGGATATCCAGGGCCTTCTATGGATATCCCCGAGCTTTCCAGGAACAGCCAAGGTGGTCCAGAACTGACTTAACCATTCCAGGAAGCCTCTTTGTGTTGATCCAAAACACGAAGGACCTCACACGCAGTAATATTTTGCCTCCTATACCCCACCCATGCCCACACCCCACGCCCATCCCCCACGCCCACCCCCTACACACGCCCCCACGAACGCCCCCAGCATCCATCACTCACCTGCCAATTTCCTTCCCACGATAACGTGATCCTGACCTACACGACCAAGGACCTGGCTCCCTTCCTCGCCCTCCCCTACTCCAGTTCTTGAGTGGAGGAACTCCTCAAGTACCCTTACGTTTCGACTCTTGGAGTCCTGGGGCCAAATTCACGAAAGCACTTACGCAAGCACTTACGAACCTGTACATCTTTTCTCAATCTTTGGCGGCTTTGTTTGCAATTATTAAACAGTTAATGAGCTCCGAAGCACCAGGAGGCTGTTTATAACGATAACAACAGTTGATTGGGAAGTTTTCATGCTTGTGAACTGTTTAATAAATGTAACCAAAGCCGTCAAAGATTGAGGAAAGATGTACACGTTCGTAAGTGCTTGCGTAAGTGCTTTCGTGAATCTGGCCCCTGGACCTCCAGAACGTCCCGCTCGTCTCGAGGTTCCTGGAGTACTGGACCTCCAGAAAGAAGTCATCACCTTGACTGTCTTAATCTTCAAGGTCTATCTTAACCATTGATTGTGAAACTACTTCAGGACAATTACCCTTTGTCTCGACTCTTTTTGCTAATTATACAAAAGTAATTATTCCTGATTCTTCTTCTTCTGGAGGATTAATCCCTCCTGATTCTTCCTGATGGAGGATTAATCCCTCCTGATTCTTCCTGATGGAGGATTAATCCCTCCTGATTCTTCCTGATGGAGTATTACCCTCCCATCTGCTTCTTATAGATTCTTATCGTTATTCTTAATTCTTCTCTTGGAATATTGCCTACTTTCTTTAACCATAAAATACCAAAACACCTCCAACCAGGCCATGATGGACCAAAATTAAATTGCTTAATATAACTTTCCCCCAATTTCTCACTTCCTCATTAATTTCCCATCTTTCTTCCCCCCCAATTTCTTCCTTATTTTCTCCTCGACTTTCTTCCTCACTACCTCTCTCTCCCTCGTACTGATAATACTGCAAAGTCTGCAAGATGCAACGGGAACACTCTCTACCTCCGCCTTAACCGACCTGTCCTGAATAACTCACAAATAAAGAGGTTGAATAACTCACAAATAAAGAGGTTGAATAACTCACAAATAAAGAAGTTGAATAACTCACAAATAAAGAAGTTGAATAACTCACAAATAAAGAAGTTGAATAACTCACAAATAAAGAGGTTGAATAACTCACAAATAAAGAGGTTGAATAACTCACAAATAAAGAGGTTGAATAACTCGCAAATAAAGAGGTTGAATAACTCACAAATAAAGAGGTTGAATAACTCACAAATAAAGAGGTTGAATAACTCACAAATAAAGAGGTTGAATAACTCACAAATAAAGAGGTTGAATAACTCACAAATAAAGAGGTTGAATAACTCACAAATAAAGAAGTTGAATAACTCACAAATAAAGAAGTTGAATAACTCACAAATAAAGAGGTTGAATAACTCACAAATAAAGAAGTTGAATAACTCACAAATAAAGAAGTTGAATAACTCACAAATAAAGAGGTTGAATAACTCACTAATAATGAGGTTGATTAAATCACAATTAAAGAGGTTGAATAACTCACAAATAAAGTCGCTGTATAACTCACAAATAAAGTCGCTGAATAACTCACAAATAAAGTCGCTGAATAACTCACAAATAAAGTCGATGAATAACTCACAAATAAAGACGCTGAATAACTCACAAATAAAGACGTTGAATAACTCACTCTGCTATCTCTAATCCTTCCCGTGATTCACAATCCCTTCTAGATAACAGAATTTACAAGAACATACCATGAAAAGTTATATGTATATTAAATTATTTAACCTTTAAATTGAAATCTTGAATATTCACTTACTATTCACTTAAATATTCACTTAATATCTACTTAAATATTCCCTTAATCTTACGTTTTTATAACTTTACTCCTCTGTACTTACCGGTTTCATAAATTCATCTGAACTAAATTGTATTTACTCATTGCAACCACTGCTAACATTATAAACACCCAGTACGCTTCAAACTAACGAGAAACGCCCATAAACGTTTGTAGCAGCCTAAGGGTTAATGGTAGCAAACTTACATCAATTCTGTAACATGCCAAATTATGTGTGTATATATGTATTAAAATGATGGAAAATAATAAGAGTAATTCATATAACGCGATAACAAAGGGATTACAATATAACTAATTATAACAATGCTCCTCACTTGATATCATATATCCTATTCCCTCTAATCATTGCTTGTGGTATTAACCTGTCTCTTGGTGTCTGTCTGTCTGTCTGTCTGTCTGTCTGTCTTGTCTGTCTGTCTTGTCTGTTATGCTTCGTTTCCCTGTCTATAAGGCTTCGTCTCCCTGTCTAACAAGGTTACGTCTGCATGTCTACAATTAGAGCATGTGGCTGTATGTTGTATGTGTAGAGCAGTTTACTCTAAGTTTACTTTAAGAATGTTGAAACAACAAAGAATTAACCTTGACCTTAGATGGCCCTTAAATGACGTCAGGTCATCTTACGTGACAATCATACTTGACAATCGATGCAATTGAACGAGAAACAGATTCTTTCAATTGCAGCGAATGAACTTGCAACTGCCTTTACTGAACTCAAATCGGCTCCAATATGATGGTCAATAACATATTATACTGAATCTTTCGAACAATGACTTCAAATGATCTTAAATGACTTCAGATTATCTTAAATGACTACAGATTATCTTTTAAATGACTTCATGTGACATTCAATATTCTCAAGTATTCTGTATGTTAAGAACTCCAAATAGTTTTAAACCACTTAAAGATACTATAAAGATAACTACAAATCTAATTGATTCTTAAAATTTGCATTTAAATGCCTGTTAATGACACCCCTAGCTTTTTAATTTCAATAACCTCTAATGACCATTTAGTGACAATTTTGACTTCAAAGAATTATCTAATTAAAAACCACTTTGAAATTAGGGTTTGCTTAAAATGCAGTAGCATAAACCGTTCATCATTTCTGGGCTCAGCGACCCCGCGGCCCGGTCGTCGACCAGGCCTCCTATTAATACTAATTGCAAAGTATTAGCCTCTCTTCCTACGTGGTTGTAAATTGATAACCGGGTTGTGTGCATCAAATGACAGTACTGTTATTTGTCATTAGTACTATTTAAGTACTTCCTATATGCGTGTTTTTTATTATTTACATCCAATGACCTTTTGCAACAAATATTAAATTACGTGAAATAATTCATTGCAAAGTCCTGTTATTAGATCACAAAATGACATTCAAATGGTCTAAAGTGACCTTTAGCTCACTGTTCAATTGGTTTAATTGACTGGAATCGATTGGCTGGAATTGATTGGAATTGATTCATTAAGATTTGATTGGAATTGGTTCAATTGTCTGGAACAGTGACATCCTCACTGTTCAATTGACCTCAATTGGCCATTCAGAGAAAGACTTTCTAAAAGTTCCCCAAAAAATGACAGTGAAGTCTTCAAGAACCAGCCATAATCTTGAGATAACTTGATATTACCTTCAGAAGATCTTCACTAACTTTCAGCTAATTCTTGATGACGTTCAAACTACATCATAAAAATGTACCTTCAAATTGTCTATAATATACTTGCAATTACTGAAAATAACTTCAAAGGCCTTCAATATACCTGTAATAACTTCAAATTACTTCGAATTGCCTTCAAAATGCCTGTAATTACTTAAAAATTACTCATGACTTAGTGCTTTCTCCTGATAATTTCGTTCCAATATCATCACATCATGGAAACATAATTTTAAGTATGGCAAAACGACTTTCAAATGGCCTAAATTAACCTTAAAATAACATTGAAAGTCTTTTCAGTACCAGATAAATACCTATCAATAACTTTCGAGGAATTTTAAATGGTCTCTGTTGAATGGCTTTTTAAATGTATATTGTTCTCAATGTGGCATCGGCCTTTCATTGTCACGTGGCCTTCCAGTTTCTTAAATAACTCTCTTGTGTGTAAAATGGCTTTCCAGTATGTCAAATGGCTTCCCAGTGTCTCAATAGCCCCTTAAATGTGTCAAATGACTCTCCAGGGAAAACAGGACTTCTAAAGACCTCTTTCAAAGTGTTTCCAAATACTGTTAGAAGTAATGTTTAGTGTTTACGTAATGTCTCGTGACTTCTAGGTGACTTCTTGTTAACTCTCTTGAAATATGTTCCTCCTTGTTGATCCTCTGTTGATATCTGTTTGCCTCTGTTTGCCTCTCCTGGTTTCATTGAACATCAGTTGACCTTTGGTAACCTATAACTAACGTCTACGGATGTATCCTGATATCTTTTGACCTCTGCGATGTAAGTTATCTTTCGATAAACTCTAGAATATAAATAGTGATGTCTGATTACCACTAGTGCTAGTGATGTCTATTGACCATTAGTGATGTCTATTGACCACTGATGATGTCTATTGACCACTAGTAATGTCTATTGACCACTAGTATTGTCTGTTGATAAATAATCCTCTTTTTAATCCTAGGAACCAACTTCATCCCTTATAACTGTATTTCTGGGAGTCTGATTCCAGACGACTGAGTCTCAGGTGTCAGGTTCCAGACATCATATTCCAGATTCCGGGCGTTAGATTCTAGGTTTCTGACGTCACATTCCATGTTCCAGACGTCAGATTCCAGGTTCCAGGCGTCAGATTCCAGGTTCCAGGCTTCAGGTTCTGTCCCGTTCATGTACGAGGCAGATTTCGACTTATGCTTCCAATAATGTGATGTTGACTGACCTTGTGAGTTCTTCCCGGCGCCATGTTTCAGCATCCTGTGTTTCTTAACTTTGTCCGCCCCATCTTCGGTGTGACCTGTCATGACCTGACCATTCTTGACCTGTAAACACTTCATCTGTGTCCTCGTTTTGACTGACGTCTCTTGACTAATTTTCTAACCTTATAGCAGGCTTCTAAAGACCGTTTCTAACCATCTTTCTGGCCTGACGTATTCGTCTTGATGAGCACCTCTCATCATTTCCCCTCTCGTGACCTCCTCGTCCACCACGATACTTCTGACATGTAAATAACCCTTTGTAAGAGTCTGTTGTCTCACTTTATGACTTCGCCTCCGCCAGGTACGTCAAGGGCTGCCTCCAGAGCTGTGACGACTACGAGGGCTGCAACGGCTCTCCTTCCTCCAGGCACGCCTCCTGGTCCACAATCTCCCTGGCCCTCCTCCTCCTCTACTTCTACAAGATATTGTAGCCCCTGGTAACGCCCTCCCGACCATCCTGCAGCTGCGCGCCGCTCGCTACTGTCGAGGGCTTGAACGCTGGAGTGTGCATTGTGGGAGGTGGTGACCGCAACATTCTGAGCCCCATACCACGGTGCTCTGGACCTACACTGTTGTTGTTTAAGATTCGCTACCTGGAACAAAAAGTTCCAAGTAGCACGGGCTATGGTGAGCCCGTAGGAGCCCACTCTGGACCTACACGTAGCCGAGAGATCTTATGCTTACAATCCTGGTAACCCATAAGTATATCATACCTATGATCTTGTGCTTGTAAGTTTGGGAATGCGTCCTATGGATCCAAGAACAAAGCCTTGTGGTTGTAATCCTGGGAACTCAATAGGACTGGAGTCCCAGTCCTGGGACTCCAGACCGAGTCCTCAAGGACTGGCTCTATTTAAGAGTAAGATTCCTGACAAATCTTTGACACTAGTTCAGCAAATTTACATCAAATATTTGCCCTATGCTGCTACGTTTAAGAACCCCAAGCTACACAGCCGATGACCTCTAAGTATGCCAGAGTGTGTCGTTCAGAACTTGAGACTAGTTAAGACGTCATTACTGGGCAACAAGCAAGCAGGTACCTTCACGATGACCCTCCACACTCCACTCAACACCCCAGATGATGGCCGAGGTGTTGCGACTGTCTCCTGAGATGTTCATTACAATATGTGTCAGCTTAGATGAGCATGATCCGTGGAAGACCGGAACTCTGATCACCAGCGCCCCTTCAGAACCCTGCACTCAACTCTTAATGACACTCTAGAGCTCCTAAGAGTGTCCGAGGCTTCAAATGTGCTGGTCTAGAAGCCCTTACCCAAAAGGTTTATCCTTGTGAATCTTCGTAACGTGGAGCTGCTTCTTAAATCCCCCAAGAGTGTCCTTGGGAAGACAACAATGCACAAAGCACATTCGTCAACTAGTGCGGCGGAGAACTCTACCACCTTTTAGTCCAAGGCACTTTGAACAGGATAAAGACAGTCAACCAGCGCGATTCGAAAGCTAAGATGGGTTGTTCAGCTCCATGTGAGACTTGGATCTCAAGTCTTCGGGTGACTGGAAGACATCTTCGGCCCTGGACGGCTCTGGAAGACCCTGGAAGACCCTGTGGAAAGCCCTGGAAGACCCTGGAAGGCCCTGGAAGACCCTGAAAGACCCTGGAAGACCCTGGAAGGCGCCTCCAGCTCTGGAAGAAGCTTATGAGATGACCATAACACACGTAGCTGCCTCAAGACAGATAAAGCATGGTCCAGAATGCTACTTTAGGTTTGCCATCGTCTTCAGACCTAATGTAAGGAAATCCAGAACGATATAAACCTAAATTTTCCAAATCGGACTCCGGGACGCTGTCTCTCAGGTTGGCATGCCGTCGACTGACAGGCTAGACGAGTGACACGTCCGAGGACGGGGCAGTGTCCAGGAGTGACAGGATGATGGGGACACAGCTGAGACCTGTCTGTGTGTGTCCTCTGGCATCATGTGTCCTCTGGCATCATGTGTCCTCTGGCATCATGCTGCAAGCTGTATCATCGCGAGAAACAGCGTGGGAATGATGCAAGACTGAGGGCTGGTGAGGTCTTGACAAGAATAATATCAAACATGTCAAATGTTCTGATAAAAAAAATATATGTATAATTTTAACATTAACCAAGATTTCGAACCCCGGTGCTTTAGTTGTCATAAGAAGGGCCTTTATACATATGTATACAGTATAACTAGTATATTTTGGTAGCAGTCTTTCTTGTGGACATATTATTGAAGATGGCAAACTGTGAAGTCAATGATTCTAGCACGAAGCTTCTCTCTCTCTTTCTATATATATATATTTCTTATGTTTCCAGTTTAGAAGTTAAAACATTAACTCTCCGAAGATAGTTTTATTGTGGCCTGACGTTAAGAGATGTGTTTCGTTGAATCTTGTCAACATCTTCAGAGACAGAGAAGTCGATATCATTTAGCTGAAACTGAAAATATATAACCCAAGAGTGAGGAAGAGTGTGTCATAGGCCTACTGCAGCCTACACCCATGTGTTCCAGTGGTGCCTGGGGTGCTAGGTGCTCCAGTGGTGGCAGGGGTGCTGGGTGTTGGTCTGGAAGATGGTACAATGTACCTGAGTGTTACCCGGCTGTTAACAGCTGGGCGAGTGTGTTTGACATGTAGTGCTTTGTCAATGTCTAATCTTTGTCGCAAGTGAAGAGTATAAATACAGAAAAGATTCATGTTAGAGTCATTGATCTAACCCTTTCTGTCATATTCAATAACACACACATATTATATATATATATATATATATATATATATATATATATATATATATATATATATATATATATATATATATATATATATATATATGAGTAGTCATTACTAGAAAACCAGGACCAGTCGTTTAATATAAACTATATATTATATATTATATTATTAACTTCGTGTGTGTATTAACACGAGACTGTTATAGCATATAGTGACTATTGTAAGCCATCTTTGGCATGTTTATATATAACAACCCAACAACCTCTACCAGTCACAACCCAACAATCACTACCAGTCACAACTCAACAACCACTACCAGTCACAACCCAACAGTCTCTACCAGTCACAACCCAACAGTCTCTACCAGTCACAACCCAACAGTCTCTACCAGTCACAACCCAACAGTCTCTACCAGTCACAACCCAACAGTCTCTACCAGTCACAACCCAACAGTCTCTACCAGTCACAACCCAACAGTCTCTACCAGTCACAACCCAACAGTCTCTACCAGTCACAACCCAACAGTCTCTATCAGTCACAACCCAACAGTCTCTACCAGTCACAACCCAACAACCACTACCAGTCACAACCCAACAGTCTCTACCAGTCACAACCCAACAGTCTCTATCAGTCACAACCCAACAGTCTCTACCAGTCACAACCCAACAACCACTACCAGTCACAACCCAACAACCTCTACCAGTCACAACCCAACAACCTTTACCAGTCACAACCCAACAGTCTCTACCAGTCACAACCCAACAGTCTCTACCAGTCACAACCCAACAACCTTTACCAGTCACAACCCAACAACCACTACCAGTCACAACCCAACAGTCTCTACCAGTCACAACTCCACAACTTAGCTTCGACTCACCACAACAACTGGTGAGTTGTTGTGGTGAGTTATATGTTGTTGAATATATAATTGATCTATGGCGTTTGTCTTTCAAATTCTAACAACTTCAGGTCATTAGAATCACAACCCCAGACTCGCACAACTTACAACCTCACCATCACTCTGACCACAACTTACCGTAAACAACTCTAAACTGATCGCTAAAGGATTACTTCACAACCCAACAACTGACAATCGTCAGTTGTTGATTGTGACAATCATCACAGTTTAGTTGGCCATCTCTTCTAACAACCAAACGATCGTTATCATGTCAATCAACTTGTTCAAACAACATCAAACGACGCAATTTAGTAACTTTTTTTTGAGGAGGGGTCGGTGCCCCCTTACGGCAGCGACGATGGTAAAGGGGTCACCCCTTAACACAAGACATTGCTGCCTATTACCTCTCTCTATATATACTCTCTGGTCACAACCCAAAGGTCCCGGGTTCGATTCCCAGGTAGGGCGAGGCGTTTCCTTACACTTGATGCACTTCATCAAGATCACTACACAAGATCTTCACACTGGCTTCATAAATCCCTAAGGCACTTGAAAAGTTTACGATTAGTGGTTGTGGCAACCTTCAGGTGATTGTGGCTACCTTTAACACTCAACTGCTGCAGCTTTGGAAGCTCCCAGAAGCCGTCAGAAGCTCCCAGAAGCCTCCAGAAGCCCCTAGAAACTCCCAGAAGCCCCAGAAGCTCCTGGAAGCCCCCAGAAGCCCCCAGAAGCCCCCAGAAGCCCCCAGACGCCGTCTAACTGTCAGTCCAATGAAATATCAAGTGGGTGTCGACCTCTGAAACTTACACAGCAACTCGCCAGCTTAATTTAAATACAAATTGACACCTTTCAACCCAACGCGAGTGTAGTTCGCCGAACCATCAGCCAATCACAGATGCGGAGCTTCGGTAGAGGATGACGTGGGTGCAAATTGGACTAATCAGGATTGAGGCCGCCGGGCAAACTCCCACGTCATTGGTTGAGCGACGTGACGTGTGGCCGCACACCGCCCAATCAGGGAAGAGATTCAAAAGGCGCCAAATATAAAATTCAAATTTGGATCTTCGATTCCATTTCCGTTTGCAATCTGTTTGTTTACTGGGGATAATAAACAAGAGAGAGTTATAACGGAAAGATTGAAGAGACCTTCCATTGGAATTGTAAAGAATCTTGAATAGAGCTTCGTCTGGCCCATCTGGGGGGCTTCTGACCCAGCTTTAGAGCGCCTGACCCAAGTCGGAGTATGTGAACCAACTGAGCGCGTTCAGAGCGAACATGACAAAGGATAAAGAATTAGAACCCGCTTCAAGAACCCGCGACTTGGGACATAATCCATCGCGTTCATTTTTTTTTTACACATATAATACGTATATAGACACTACAAATGCGATAGCTGGCCACCTTGAAGAACGTGATCGACGATAGCCTGGTATTAGTATATATATATTTTACAGTACGATAGCCTAATGGACTTAATTTACAGTACGATAGCCTAATGGACTTAACGACACTATAGTGTAGGGTAACCGTGTTAGGGAACTATAATGAAGTATAATGACCAGGAAGGTAGACTGGTTTACCATATCATGTAGTACACTTTGTACATAGTAACGCAATGGGGGTGTTTATATAACAAATAGTGTGTATAGGGGGGGGGTGTTTGACCCCCCCTCCACCATGATTTTTTTTCCATTCCACCCCCCCACCCCCACCCCCCTCTCCTTCTCCTGTTCCTCATCTCCCCCTTCCACACTGGTCCCTTCCCTTACGCCTTCTCCCCCCCCCCCATCCCACCCCCACGAACCCCCCCCCTCCCAACCCCACGAACCCCCCCCCCCTTGACCCCAGCCCTTGACCCCACCCTTTGACCCCACCCTTTGACCCCCCCCCTTCCCTAAGAACGTAACTGTGTGTACTCTCGTCGTATCCAGTACCCAAACGAGGGTACACCCCAATTTACGTGCAAGTCAATGTAAACACATATATATACATATATATATTATATATATGGTATTTTGATATAAAATGCCTCGTTATTAGTTGGGTAAAACCTTAGCATCTGTGGCGATGAATTGGTAGTTTAAGGAGTGAATATATAATTGAATATACACATCAAATGAATATATAAAAATATATACTTATATATATATATATACAATATAGATTATTAGGTATTTAAGTAATAGAAGGTTAGTAATGCTGGCGGGGATGTGTGTGTTGGGGGGCTGACATGTGTGGCGGCTGACATGTGTAGCGGCTGACATGTGTGGCGGCTGACATGTGTGGCGGCTGACATGTGTGGCGGCTGACATGTGTGGCGGCTGACATGTGTGGCGGCTGACATGTGTGGCGGCTGACATGTGTGGCGGCTGACATGTGTGGCGGCTGACATGTGTAGCGGCTGACATGTGTGGCGGCTGACATGTGTGGCGGCTGACATGTGTGGCGGCTGACATGTGTGGCGGCTGACATGTGTGGCGGCTGACATGTGTGGCGGCTGACATGTGTGGCGGCTGACATGTGTGGCGGCTGACATGTGTGGCGGCTGACATGTGTGGCGGCTGACATGTGTGGCGGCTGACATGTGTGGCGGCTGACATGTGTAGCGGCTGACATGTGTGGCGGCTGACATGTGTGGCGGCTGACATGTGTGGCGGCTGACATGTGTGGCGGCTGACATGTGTGGCGGCTGACATGTGTGGCGGCTGACATGTGTGGCGGCTGACATGTGTGGCGCCTGACATGTGTGGCGGCTGACATGTGTGGCGCCTGACATGTGTGGCGGCTGACATGTGTGGCGGCTGACATGTGTGGCGGCTGACATGTGTGGCGGCTGACATGTGTGGCGGCTGACATGTGTGGCGCCTGACATGTGTGGCGGCTGACATGTGTGGCGGCTGACATGTGTGGCGCCTGACATGTGTGGCGCCTGACATGTGTGGCGGCTGACATGTGTGGCGGCTGACATGTGTGGCGCCTGACATGTGTGGCGCCTGACATGAGTGACGGCTGACATGAGTGACGGCTGACATGAGTGACAGCTGACATGTATGACAGCTGACATGAGTGACAGCTGACATGAGTGACAGCTGACATGAGTAACAGCTGACATTAGTGACAGCTGACATGAGTGACAGCTGACATGAGTGACAGCTGACATGAGTGACAGCTGACATGAGTGACAGCTGACATGAGTGACAGCTGACATGAGTGACAGCTGACATGAGTGACCCCTCTAACTACCAACGTGTAATGTCATTGTTTTCTGTGAAATGTGCACACACACACACACACACACACACACACACACACACACACACACACACACACACACACACACACTTCCCGTATTTGTACTTTGAAAATAAAGAAAATATTGAGCACTTCTTGTGTATTATTGAGCAGTCCTTGTGTGTGTGTGTTTAGGTACGTATATGTGCGTACACACACGCACATGTAGGCGTATGCGTACACATGTGGGCGTGGGCGTACACATGTGGGCGTGTGCGTACACATGTGGGAGTGTGCGTACACATGTGGGCGTGTGCGTACACATGTGGGCGTGTGCGTACACATGTGGGCGTGTGCGTACACACGTGAACGTAATGCATGTTTAAGCGAACGAAAAACGCGGGAAAAAACAAAAGGTCGACCAACGGCGACTTTCTGGCGCGAAAACACCGCCAAATGAGCCCCAAGTCCGCCAACTCGGTC